TCGGATGCCCCAACGCCTGTGATGAGACGACTCAACGCCTGTGATGAGACGACTCAACGCCTGCGATATGTTATGGCGCCGTTTGATTCATAAACAATATTTATATTTAATATTTATATTTAAACAATATGAATGTAAGCCAGAGGAGAACTGGCCCCCGACTGAGCCTGGGTTCTCCCAAGGTTTTTTCTCCATCCAATCTGATGGAGTTTGGTTCCTTGCCACTGTCGCCTTGCTTTTGGCTTGCTTTGAGCTTGCTCAGTTGGGGTTATTTAGTGTTTAGCAATGTTGTTGATCTGTGTTGTGCTACTTACATGTTATCACTGTGAAGCTGCTTTGATACAATCTGTATTGTGAAAAGCGCTATATAAATAAATGTGACTTGACTTGACTAGTTAGCAAGGATTGTTAGCTTGTTTTTTAACAATGACTGGAGAAAATCCGATATTATCTTAATGTGTAAGGTCACTCACTGTCCAGGACTGTGATTGTTATTTCCAAAAGTTATTTTTAACGGACGGAACCAGATTGGCCGACCTGTAGCTGCCTACACGCTCACTCAATGCATGGACGATCTGACAGGATTAACGTACGTTACCTCGGTTGAGTGGTCTGACTTCTACAACTACCTTATAGAGAAACCGATCGTAAATAGAAACTGAGGGCTAGGGGTGTGCAAAGCAGCTGCTATTTGTATTTGTATTTGTTCAGGGAGGAAAAGTATTTGTATTTGTATTCGAGTAAAATTCAAAATAGGCATAAAAATCTTTAAAAATACTTTATAGTGTATGGATTCTTTAATTATATCCATTATAATAATTATGGATATGCAATATTGGTTGATTTTTTATATAAATCCAGCAATGAACATGTAACAAGAAAAGTCATTGAAAAGAAAATAACAGTCAGCCATTACCTCATGAACCATGGTTAAACCAACAACTAATAAAATACAATTGTGAACATTATGAACCCCAACACCACGGTGGAGGACGCTGTGCAGACAGAATAAGTTATAGGGATAATTTATAGCGAGGAGGTTGATTATGAGCCCGACGCGAAGCCTGAAGGGTTTTCGCTATAACTACGCCTCGCTCTACATTAACCCGCTTATTACATGGCTACCTACCAAATAAATCAATAATTTGACTCAAAATATGGATATAAAAAGGAGTTTATTGATTTAAAAAACGATTGTATCGCTCCCGCTAAAAAAAGAAAAATAGTCCGTTCTGTCTCTACGTTTAGAATCCATGGCAACGCTCTGTTTTTCATAGCAACGGTGTGTTATACTTATAAGCAGCGGCCTGTTATAATAACAGACCGCATTCTACATTGGAATTCAATCAAGCCATGAAACAAATAATTACTGTTACCGAGCTAACAGAGCTACGTAAACAGAGCGAACATGAGAGCACCCGTCTGCAGACGCCAATAATGGAATATACATATACTCCCGATCAAACTCCGCTTCCCGAAAGTTATAAACTGCCACCGGAACATAGTTAAGGTACAAACATCTATTAAACAAAAATAGTGATGCAGTTAAGTGTTTTTTTTCGCTCAGCCGAGCCCTCTCTGTTGCTGTGTGGAGCAGCCTGTGTCAGTAAACTCTTCCTGAACGTCACTCACTCAACTCGCGCACTGCGGTCTCGTGAGGAACGCAGCTTTTTGATATAAAGTATTTCTTGTTCCCGAATACAAATATTTTTTTAAGTATTTGTTCGGAATAAGTATTCGTAAAAAACACATTATTTGTACCTTTCCGAATACCGTATTCGGATTCGGCTCCACCCCTACTGAGGGCATATAAATCTTTAGATGCCTATATGGTCCTGTACAAGACTTGTGTGTACGATCCGCAGTTCTGCCGAGCCAGCGCCGAGACCACGACAATGTAAAGAGTGACATTACAGTGCGATTTTAATGATGTGAATATTTTCTAGAAATAAAAGTTCCAGATACAGCATATTCATTTTTCATCAATTTTTGCACCAAACAACACAATAAGATGACATTTAATAATAGTAACAATTATTTAAGCTCCTTGTTATGTAGCCGAATCTGTGCTGTTTTGTATTGGCTGCTTCCAGTTTTCACTTTGTTTTGCCTCCAGCTAGCGCCGTGACGTAACTGTGATGTCGGCGCAAAAGGGGTCTATTAGTATTTTTTTTCTCAAATGAAACAGTGAAAAGCTTGTGAAGTGACTCTCTGAGCAGCTCTGGAAATGAAGTTCCTGTGTTCATGTCCTCACTTATTAAGACGGCATATGCTTAAAACATCATGAGCGTCACTTGTATGAGTTTGTATATCAGATGCACCATTCATTCACACAGAGACATGCAGAAATCCATTTATTAGCGACTCACTGGATGTTGCAGCGTTTATCTTCTCCAGTATGATAGGCTGCGAGATTAATCCTTATCGAGTAAAACGTTAATTTGATATTGTTTATCACCTGGCCCTAACCATAATCTTATATTAAGAACACATTCAATAGTTAATTAATATTACTTAGTACTTGAATGTATAATTACTAGGGCTGACTTCTAATAATCGAGGATTCGACGATTCGATGAGGTCTGATTCGACTATGAACGTTATAGTCGAATAGTACACGGCCAGTTCAACCTCGTATAAATCAGCTTATGTGTGTCTCCCGCTCACGAGCGCTCACTCTTAACAGACACACGAACAGACACACTGTCCCCGGCGATGCTCGCGCGTCACAGAATGTTCATCAAGCGCTCCCCGTTCACAGTAACCGGGTCGTCTCATTCAAAACAGCCAGCCGTTGCTGTCAGCGAGCCGCCACACATTGAATACTCATATGAGTCAGGCTGCGAATGTAAGTTACGTGCCCGCCCCAGCGCGCTCACATTAATAAACGCCTCACCTCCGACGTGCGCACTCACTACATTCCCAGCACATCTGGATGCATAACGCAAACCCAGTCAAACATTTGACTGCAGTATCTTATGCGTCTCATTATCCGGTGCGCCCTATATATGAAAAATGTTCTGATATAGGTCATTCATTGAAGGTGCGCCTTATAATCCGGTGCGCCTTAAAGTGCGGAAAATACGGTATACATGCGTTTTATATTTAACCTGAAATAGAGAAGCATTCATGCGTGACAAAAAATCTTTAAGTTTTAGGAGGCAAAATATATTTTTTGTAATTCTGTGAATTACACTGCTCAAATCAGATGAGAAAGGGTTTTCTCTCCACAAAACATAAAATATATTATTTTTCGTGTTCATAGAGGAAAAAACAATGTTACAGACGTGACAGTTCTCCGACGGACACGAGTGCTCTGAAGCAGCACTTAAAGACTGCTTTAAAACTTTCACAGACCTCAAACAGAAAAACACAAAGCCTTTCTTTAAAGTGAATTTCGTTTTTTTATAATTTTTTTCTTGATTTTAATTAATGTTTCATCAACCAATTGCAGACAAAAAGCAGACAATTACTGATAATCAAGGCACGGAGGCACCGATGTGTGAACTGGAGCTTGTCTCATAAATATAGCTACCGCAACTCAGCGTATAAGTATAGTCTACTCTACAGACCTGAAACATATCTGTATTGAAATGTCTACTTGTAAATAATACAATTCAAAACGAAAGAAAACGTAATGCTCTCTGCTTATGAAATGAACTGTGCATTTCTCTCTGGCGCGTGCACTATGCAAAGATCGCGCAGCATCGTCAACTTCATTCATCTTTATTAATAAACAATTAAAATGTCTCCTTGCTATATTTGTTCTTTGTGAACAAGCTAAAGGCTTAGGATAAAACGTTAAGTTACAAGTTACAAGCTCACCACCGCATTAAAAACATGATTGCGTGATAAAAACATGAAAAATACTACCTAAACATAGCCTAACTGTTTAGAAAAAAAACACACACAACGAATAGCCTAATGCGCATACATCCATCTCTTTTGTTTGAAATGAAAAAAAAATATAGCTGCTAGACCTATCTAAAAAAAAGGTTCGACTATGGCAAAATCTAACGAATCAGATTTGACTATGAAAATCCTTAGTCGAAAACAGCCCTAATAATTACACTGTACACAGACACATTAAAATAAAGTTAAACCAATTTGTCTTTAGAGCAATCTTAAGAAAAAAGATTTTCTTAAATGTATTTGGAAATCCAATTTTTCTTTAAATAGAAAATCTTATTTTTAAGTTACAAAATAGGAAGCAAATAGCAGTTTTATAAAATAGAATAAAATAAAGAATAGAAAAAAAAAATTCTTAAGAATGTTTTGTGAATCTGGCAACCAGGTTTGGAACAATATGCGAGTGAATAAATTATGACAGAATAAACATTTTCTATTTTTATCTCTTTAACTCGGCTTTTTAGCACATCCAATATTACAACTGAAAGATCAAGAGATAAAAGTGACTAGATTTACAAGCTGTCAATATTTGGGTTATGTTCGGGTTAAGGTCACTATTCGGGTTTGTGAAACATTCGGAATAACCCGTTTACATGCGTGAGCAGAGAGAGTTACTCCTGTATAGATGGAATTTGTAATCAATTGGCAATATACCGATGTAAACGGTGACGCACTGTTAGCGTGTGGACGTACAGACAACCTTAAGAAGCAATATGCGTCCTTTCAGATTCTTCTTCCTGTGTCCAAAGACAACAACAACAACAACAACAGCAACAGCAGCAGCAGCACACGGATAATGAATAGTTCAGGCCAGAAAGCAATCGCCTTTGTGTTCACCAGGAAGAAAGACCAAGATTCCTTGCGAATAGAACACGTGCAGAACACAAATCAATGTTCCTTTTGATGGGAATGCCAATACGCGTTTAAATTACCAAATATTCGAGTTAGAAAAGGGGTAACCCAGGGATCATACTCGGGTTTTTGCCTGTGTTTACATGGCCGTGCGCGACCGGGTTATTGCTAATATTCCGGTTTTTAATGGGTTATTGGCTGCTTATAAACGTAGTCATTGATTGGTGACTCATCCAAACCTTTAGGAAGGTAAAGGCTGTCCATTTGAGCTCCTCATTCCCCTCTGGAGACTCGATGAGTCCAGTGAAACAGGCCTTCCAGATCTCCAGTACAAACAGTGGAGCAGGGATACGCTACAGACACAGATCACAAAAACATCAGAAACACAGTAGTAGTGTACACACACTACTTCATCTAAAGTATGAACACTGGTGTCTGAAGCCACCTGCATCCTCTTGATCATCATGAGCTGCTCAACTAACGGCTGCGTCTCTCCAGTGAGATTCATGGTTCCCTCCAGCATGACGAGGGCATGGACTGAAGGAAATGTGGTGTGGACCGGTGGATCACACTGAAGACACAACATCTGAGGAATACTATGAAAACACAAATTAATCATTTAAAGAATAAAAGCAGCTATAAATGAAACATGTAAATTAATCAAAATTATCAACTTTTTTAAAAAATTCATCTTTGTCACAATGCTTCTGGATATTAAGTGTCTTTAACTTGCTAAATTCTATGAATCATTTGATACAATGCACTTCCTGTTTACATGTAGGCATTTCTTTTACTTTAATAAAAATACATAAAAAACAAACAAGTAATTAAAGCTGCAAGCAGCGATGGGCAGGCCCTCGCACCTGTAGCGGGTCGGGGTGTGAGGCGGCCGCGTTGCATATTCTGCAGCTCGGCCAGTGCGGCTGTGCATTTGCTACGGTGCTTCGTTAAAGGTCAATTCCTGTTGCCAGCAGGTGGCGCTATGACTGTGGGTGAATGTAGGCATGTAGAGTTGTTCAGGGCTGGACTCTTGTCAAATGTGTAAAATTTCATGCAGATCTGGGCATTTACAGCCAAGTTACTACAACTTCCTGTTTCATGGTGAATCATCGACGCCACGGACACGCCCATCGACGAAAACGTGAAGATAGCACAACTTTACATCATCAATGCCTTTAGAAGGTACAGCAGAAATTTGAAGTTGATCCGACTAAATCCCTAGGAGGAGTTCGTCAAAGTACAGAGTGTGTAAATCGTCCCAAATCGGTTGCCAAACTCTAAATGGTGGACTTCCTGTCGAGTTTAGGGTATGGGTTCTTGAGGCTTTTTTGTGCGTCTGGTCATGGTAGATGTACCACAGAAATTTCGTACATGTCGGTCAAACGTGCGGCGGGGGCTGTTTCGTTAAAGGTCACTTCCTGTTGCCACTAGGTGGCGCTATGACTGTGGGTGAATATCGGCATGTAGATTTGTTGAGGGTGGGACTCTTGTCAAATGTGTAAAATTTCGTGCAGATCTGGGCATTTACAGCCAAGTTACTACAACTTCCTGTTTCATGGCGAATCATCGACGCCACAGACACGCCCATTGACGAAAACGCGCAGATAGCACAACTTTACATCGTCAATGCCTTTAGAAGGCAGAGCATAAATTTGAAGTCGATCCGACTAAATCCCTAGGAGGAGTTCGTTAAAATATGGAGTGTGTAAATCGTCCGAAAATGGCCGCCAAATTCAAAATGGCGGACTTCCTGTCGAGTTTAGGGTATGGCTTCTTGAGGCTTTTTTGTGCGCCTTGATATGATACACGGCCCCATCAAATTTCGTGCATGTAGGTTGAACGTGGACGAGGGGCTGATTTTTTCCAATTTTCTAGGTGGCGCTAGCGAGCCATTTTGCCACGCCCATCCACGAAACCCACAAAATACGAAATTTTTCACCAGTCCTGACATGCGTGCCAAATTTGGTGAGTTTTTGAACATGTTGCGGCCGTGAAAATGGCGCTTACTTTGCAGAAAAAAGAAAAAAACAGTTTCAATAGGGTCCTCGCACTGTTAGTGCTCGGGCCCTAAAAAGAAAAAAATAACCCTAACAGTTTCAAGAGGGTGCTCGCACTGTTAGTGCTCGGGCCCTAATAACATCTATACTACGAGATCCTACGCCTACCCCTTAACCCACCCTTAAAGGGTTAGTTCACCCAAAATTGAAAATTCTGTCAGTATTTACTCACCCTCATGTTGTTCCAAACCTCTATGCGTTTATTTGTCCTGCTGAACACAAAGGAAGATATTTGGAAGAATGTTTTAATCAAACAGATCTCATTCCCCATTGACTACCATAGTATGTATTTTTTCCTACTATGGTAGTCAATGAGAATGAGATCTGTTTGATTAAAACATTCTTCCAAATATCTTCCTTTGTGTTCAGCAGAACAAATAAACACATAGAGGTTTGGAACAACATGAGGGTGAGTAAATACTGACAGAATTTTCATTTTTGGGTGAACTAACCCTTTAAACCTAACCATATACCATGAATTCTGACCCTAACCTTACCCATATCCTCATTCAATAGCAGCAACAGTAGCCGCGTTTCCACTGCCGGGCTAGGGCTGGGCCAGAGCTAACAGCGAGCCGAGCCGAGCTAGTGGCCTCGGGCCTCAAGCACCGGACTTGCGTTTCCACTGCCGGGCCAGTAGCCCCACAGCGTTGCCTTAAACCCCGCCCCTAACACGCCTTTCTGGATCAAACGTCATACAACCCAACCCATTTCAGCGGGTATTATGAATTAATTTATTTTTTAAATTAGGAAGATAGCATGTATATTAACTCACCTGCCGTGCTGCAATAGTGTCCCGATTGTCTCGCGAGTCGCCACTAATAACAGAGGGGGACGGGTACAGGACGGTTTCTTCACACGGCGTCAAATTGACGTCGTAACGTTACCCTTTCTTCTGCCCAAATGCTCAGAAGAGCTTTGGTATCCTCGACAGACCAGTACAGGCGATTCTCCATTTCAAGCAGCGATTTTTTTTTTTTTTTGCGCGATATAAAAAGTTGGGCTGCACGTTTTCGAGTTTTTCATTAACCGTTAACCGAGGCCCTTTTAATTTTTAACACCTTTAATAACTGGTTGGATCCCATTTGAAACGAAATTAATTATAGAAATAAAACGCAGTAAGTACGGAGCAGTTAAAGCCGCATTTCCATCACCCTTCAAACTGAAATTGGCAATTGAAAATAAGCACATTGGAAACACGTCCATTTCGCAAAAACTCTGTCCTCAAATAATAATAATAATAATAATAATCATTATTGTAACATTTTATTAGTCTGCATAGAAGGCGCCTTTATCCGATAACAAAGCACAAATAAACACAACATTTTTGACGCATAGCCTATGTGTGTTTCATTGCAGTTCTTTCATTGGAAACAACTTAAAATACTCTTTCATTTCTGGTCATACAGATAATAATAATACATTATTCGCAAATACATTTATTTGCGTAAACCCACAATAACAAGAAAACATTGTGCTTTAACAATCAGGCTTCATGATCTCCGTGAACTGAAGCGCGAGAACTAAAACAGCCACCGCATTCGAATTTGTTCGTTTTAAATTGGACATTAAAGCTTTAGTCTGCAGCCTTTGTAGACTAAAGCTTTAAATGTCCAATTTAAAACGAACAAATTCTAATCGAAAGCCAATATCTTCTGACTATGTAATTAGCTAATTAATTTCTCTCTAAATGTGCATCCGGAGATGGAGATATGTTTTTAGCCGAAAATGATTTCGAAAACAATAGTTTATTAATAAACAATTAATGCCTCGTTATTTATTATTTTATTATCAGGCACATTTAGCCTATTATAGCCTATAAATCTATAAATCCCATTTCTGTAGGCTGTGGTTACGGCTCTTCTCATTCAGCACTGCGGGGAAAATATCATTTCCAGGTTCTAATTTGGCCTCAGAAAACCAGTAAAATATATATTTTTTTCATATTAATTTGTCAAATATTTTAAATGTTTAAAGGGGAAAAATCTAACAAATATCTGAAAATTCGTCGATATGTAGGCTAGCCTATATATTTTTGCGCAGCATTTGGCATAGACCTACAGTTCTGTTCAAATGAACATTTTGGTGTTCAACTTTGCGTTTTACAAAAGACAACAACCGTTAATTTTTCAGTTTGCAATTAGGCCAAGCCAACGGATTAAATAAGGGGAAAAAAGATACAAGGAATAGCCTACTAGACAAAACCTCAAAGAAATGCCACAATCAAGACCTCGGAGCAGAAATGAGGGAGTCTCTTTCCCTGCCATTAATGCTTGGATAACACGCACGTCCATAAATAGGCTAATAATAATGTCTAGTGCGGTGGCTGATAGACTACCAACGTCCGTTGCCATTATTTTTGGAATGACTTATCGCAAAAGAAAAAAAAGATGTTTTAGTCGCATAACATCGTTAATGGAAACGCTGTCATTTCACAATATTTTTTATTGACATTCAGAAAAAAACGCAAAAGTTTTGTGCAAATATGTATTGACCCCACTTAACCGAGCAAAAAGGTTTCACTCGGTTATCCAATTTTAAACATGGACACCCCTAATAAAAAGTGAAATGTGCATCTTGCTTCAGATCATAACGTTCCATAACACCGATAAACTCCGCCTTTTACCTTGAGCACGCCTCTAGCACGAGCTGGCCTGCTCTGGCCCAAGGTATTCGACGGGCCAGAAATCCTGGCCGTTGGCCCTGAGGAAGCCCCGATCAAGCCCCGGAAGTGACAGTGGAAACGCGACTGGCCCTGGCACGCACTAGCACGGCCCGGCCCTGGCCCGGCAGTGGAAACGCGGCTAGTGTTTTCCAATAAAACATGAACACAATAGGCGCATTGTACCAAACGATTACCTTAAGTACATAGTAGTTAGAGGCCTAATATAAAGTGTGACTGTGACAGTGTCTCCTTGTTATTGTTAAACTAGCCTAATTACTAAATGGCCAAATTGCATTAAAATCACTGCAATAACAACAACATTGCTTTATCTTATAATTGCCAGCAACCTCTTTGCAAATGCATTGTGAGTAATCAGTTTCTTTTTCCAGCTCTTTCATAGCTGCATCTCAAACAGTGAGACTGAGGTCATTTTGGATTCTCACCTCTTGACCAATGAAACACACTCCTCAAGATTTTCCTTCAGCGTTTGATTGGTCACCGCATTAAGATTTTCTGACAGCTTGAGCAAAGCTTGCTCTACATTGGTCCAGGATGCTTGAGAGACAAGAGAAGATATGGTAAATTAAATGGGATTCAACGTAAGGATCATCATGATTTAATAATTTATAAACATTAAAAATAAAATTAAATTCAATAAAAATGAAGATTTACCCACATATTTTTTTACATAAAAAATAAATAAATAAATATAGCTGCGAGCAGCGATGAAGGGCCCAAGCCGGTGGCACCGCAACCCCGGTTCCTTAGTTACCTAAAATCACCAGGGTGGCCATGCCACTGGCTTTGGCCCTTCATCGCGGATCACAGCTATATATATATATACTGTATATATACATATATATATGAAGCCGGTGGCACCGCCACCCTGGTGCCTTTAGGTTTATTGTGCACGACATGCAAAATGTAACCCTGCTTTGACTGATGCAAGCTCTACAGCACAGTTTATAGTAAGAAAGAATATAGTAAGAAAGAAAAGTAAGCTGTTCAGGGACGTGCACAGGGGGGTTGCTCAGGTTGCCCGGGCAACTGCCCATATGCCCTTCTTGACTCAGGTTGCCCTTCTGAGGAAAAAAAAAATCGTACAATCGATGTAGAATTTCACGTAGGCCTAGACAAAAAAATAATATAAAAATCGCAAAGCCTCATTCACTTCCAAAAAAAAATAAAAAATAGAAAGTCAAACTGTTTCCACGAGACCATAGACTGCACGCGACCGTATGGTAAGGCACCGCAAATTACTCAGGCCGCGCCTCCATCTCGTGTCGCGCGCTAATTAATGTGTACGAAGTCCATGACAAAATGAAGCGAAACTATCCTTCTAGTCACGAAAAGAGGAAGAAGAAAAACATGAGAGTGAATTGCGGGAACAGCAGTCAGGTAAACTTGTGTTCTGTCCTCTCTAGTGTCAGCAAAGTTTGATGGTTTGTCTGGGCAGGCAGTGCATCTCTTGCATCACTTTTTGCCTGACAAAAGTGAGAGTAAAATACCATTATTTATTACGTTTTGTTTTTGATAAACGACAAAGTGCAACAACAGTGTTTGTTTACTGCAGCTCGGAAAACATAACCGCGTCGCGTGTGTTGCGTTCATATGAGCGTGCACGAAATGAAACTCGCATTTTTCAAGCAGAAATGTGGAGACCAGAGAAATACTGTACAATACGTGAATGATGGCACTCCCAATCAAAGTACACATTATAAAGACACACTGATTATCTAGTCTCAGTGTAGTTAAAAACTCTAAACAACTGCACTAATTATGCAAGATATAAACCAATGTATTGGCAATTTGACATTGATTGACTATTGATTTATAGGCTATATTGAATTTAAAATGATGATTAGATGGACATTCTGGTCAATATGAATGCAAATCCCTCAGTAAATAACCATAAATCAAGATTTGCTTTAACATGCATTAAAAAAAAAAATTAAATAAAAATCATAGGCTACTGATTCCGAAAATACCCTGGCTGTAGAGAGAACCAAAGTTAATCCCAAAAGCCAAAGTTCAGGGTTGTACTTTTATTATTTTCTTCTTGTTTATGTTTACGTTAATATTCACTTGTTATCTTAACATTCTATAAAAACGCTTTATTCAGTAAATATTGTTTGTTTGAACCTCATTCTGTTCTATATTGTTGTACTTATTCTTTGACTGTTTTGTTTAAAGGAGGGAGGATTGTATTGGACGGTATTGAGTGGCAATGGCAAATGGTTTACATGGCTCACGGCATCACAGATCAGGTAGAGGGCCCCTTAGCAGAATTTTGCTTAGGGCCCCAGGGGGAGGTCAGGATTGGCAAAAAAAAGAATTGTATTTTTTCCCAAAATCTAAGCGTTTTTTATTTTTTTTGAGTTTTTTCCATTCAATCCAGATTATTTATTTTCAAATAAATAAATAATAATTTAAAAAACAATAAACAACAATATGAAGAACTCTTTTGCTCATTTGTCTCATCTCTGACATTTTGTAATCTTTATAAATAATTATAAGACCATAAGATGAGGCATTGCGTTTGGACATAAACACGGCCAGATAAGGCAATTTGGAAGGGGACAAATTCAACTGAATATATTCCTTCATATAGCCCGTGAGGGGGGAGGGGGGTGCCCTTTTTTCAGGTCAGAGCAACTGCCCCTCAAAATTCCTGTGCACGTCCCTGAAGCTGTTACTCTGAGATGGTTTGGGAAACAAACATTCATCGTGTCGCATTGGTTTTAGTTACTTGTCCTCGAACAGAGCCCTAATCTGTTTATATTTCAGTTACACATTCTACATTGTTTAAAAAAAGAAAAATCAAATGTGTTTTTAATTCATACAGAAATAAAATATTTATAATTCAGCTGAGAATAAAGTTAGTTCAAATTTTAAGAAAAACAAATATATGATCTGAAATATAGCACATTCATTTTTAAATTCATTCAGGTTCAATTACCAAAAATACAATCTTAATTTAATTTAAAGCAAATAATAAATCTAAAATATATGGGTTATATGCATATTTTGTAAAAAAAAAAAGAAAAAAAAAAAGAAAGATATATATCCAAAAACACAAGGCCTTAAACTTTAACAAGGGTGCAACTCTTATCACCACAACAAACATAGTCACACACACAAGTCAAGTCACTTACATTTTAGATGCAATATTGACTTTTTAGATGCAATATTGACTTTCAGCAGAGAAAATAGTTAAACAAAGATCACAGCGACCCATCGCGCATCTCAAAGCAATGTGTTTTCTCATTACTGAATGATTCAGCATTTTGAATCCATGACTCGTTCATTAAGACGGTCATCTGGCGACACCTTATGGTGATTTAGGGTTATGTTTAAAAGTATCGTTCTTTACAGCGATTTTTAATTGACTCCTGTTAAACCAATCTCGTAACATTATTGTGTAACCGATTTAATTTGATCAGCCTTACCTAGGGTAACAGCCCTATAGTGTCTTATTATTCTAAATTATTGAATTTATTGATCAAATTTACTAATGAAAAATTAAGCATACATTTATTAAGACTAGGCTGCCCTGCAGATATTAGGCTACAATATGCAGATTTAAATATACCATTTATCAAATAATCTGTTTATTTTTAGGTTACACATTACATTGTTTAAAAAATAAAAATCAAATGTGACCCGCTCTGGCGAAATGAGTCGGAAGTTGCAACCTTCCATTTTAAGATATGGGCCGATTATGTGGAAAAACCATGAAATAACAAAAAAAAATATATATATATATATATATATATTTTTTTTTTGCTAATTTCAAAGAACAGACATTCAAAAATAATCTCACAGGGTTTCGTAGTCGAGATAATTGAGTAAAGGTATTTAAATAACGATTAAAGTTGTCAAAGCTTTAAATTAGCTGAAATAAACATTGCTCTTCTCAACTCCCCTCGTCACCTCTGAGCATTTCCCGGGTATCCCCTGAAACGTTGAACTCACTGGAGGCTTCTAACCTAAACTGCGTGAGTATATTTATCTGCAAGAAGAATATAGCCTATGTAAGGCTGTAACGATCGCGACACTCAGATCCACGAACCTGTGTCGCGGTGTGAGAAGACAGAATCACAACACCGACACGTCCCTTCAACTCCCGAAGTTATCCTTCACGTCCAGACCCAATGCTAGCTACAACATCTTTAAATTACTATAGTATTATTTGAAGTTAACATTATAAAATACGTAGACTTACACCACAAAACTTAAATTATTACTAAATTTTTTTAAATTGGGCAATTTCAGCATTATGGAGGAGATGAACGTGAACTGAAGCTTGTCTCATGAACCGAAAGTCAGCGTATAAGGTATCCTCACAGACATATATTGAAATGTCTACTTTTAAACACAACCATTCAAAATGAAAGAAAACAGACTGCTCTCTGCTTATGTGGGCTAATCCGCATGAAAACTGAATTTCTCTCTGACTCCGCTTCAATCTTTCCGATTTTAGAACATTTTTGTAAAAGTGACTTTTTAATTATTTATTTCAAAAAAATTTAAAATAAGTTGAGTTTCAGCCTCGTTAAATTGCATTTATATATGTTAATCTATTTGGTCAAATTAAGCTATATAAAATAAATAGTTTATCCCTTAAAATGCTATGGATTTTGAAAGATATCAAAAAAAAAAAAAAAAAAAAAAACGGGCATAAAAACTTTAAAAGCGATTTTCTTAGGTTTTCAATTGGAAAAAAAGGGCAGACGACCAGAATTCAAATCTGTATATCTTTACAACCATTCAAGGTATGACCAAGGTATCATTTGAAAGCTTACAGTGTCCTCTTTCCATTAATATCAAAATCTCAATTTTTAAATTTGGGTCACTGTGACTAATTTTGCTGGATCAGGTCGGTCACAAATGTGTTTTTTATTGTAGTATTATTTTATACAGAAATACATTATAATTATATATAATATACAAAATATAACCGTGGGCGCGATTAAACAGTGTTACAATAAAACTCAACATTGTGTTTTTTAAAAATAAATTCAAATAATACAAATCCCGAAATTGCGCTAATTTTAAAATTAAACTAAAACTCATGGCTGCACAAGCATTCATAACTATGCGCGCCAACAGCGAGGAACCAGCAGAACAGAGTGAACGTTCATTCTTTTTAGTTCAATCCTACTTAATAGGAATTTATTTAAAATGCTTGCTCTACTCCACAACATTAATGTCTTGTGCGGATATCTGTATTTTGACTTTCGGTTTTAAGTAAGCGATTTAAAAGTTCCCGAGTCCCAGCGGAGTCACACGTTGATTAACCGGTGGGAATATACACAAGAGGCCTAACTGATATTGAACACAAGAGGGCAGTATAGCACTACGTATGACTCAGATTATTTTTTCTTCTTCTGAATTTTACAACCATTATGGCTGTTTTTGAACGTAAACATAATTCTTAAATGAAAAAAGGGAAAAACTGGTTTAATTATAATATTTGTATAATTTAATTTAGAAACAAATGATGTATAATTACATTTTTAGAAGATATGAGGCTTTTAGTGTTTACTGTTTACTTTT